CCCCAAAACCCCAAAACCCCATAAGACTTGATTGTTAAATAAAAATAGTAAAATCAAGATTTAATTAAAATTTAATAGTTACCATACTTTATTACACTTACTCTTAAACATCTCATTAATTCTAACCATATCTCTAAGAAGAGGGAAACCCTTCCTGCATCATAGTTACATTGCCTGTGCTCGCTTGACTGCTCATTTACTGGACTATATTCATCCTGAATATACTCTCTTGTGAGATTTTGGAAAGAGCTTTCTTAATTTAATTTGCTGCATCCATGTTTGATGATTAACATGAAGTTTGATCACTCATTGTTCTCTACGATAGGTTAGGCATTTAAAAGGCATTCCTACCTTCCAAATTGCTATTTTACTTTAATTAGGATTGAATTTAAAAGTTCAATTGTTGATATATAGCTGCATTATTGCCATCTTTCAGTCTTGCTGTTACTGCTCTGCCTGGCTTAGTATTAATCATGCTTTTAGAGATGGTCTAAGAATGAAGGTTTTGATTCTTTAATATCCTTTTTTTCTTATTTTGAGAGACAGGACTAGAGCACTAAGTAGAAGTTGAATCAATTTTCTTGCTGTCATTATAACTCTAGATTATTTATTAGGAAGTAGATCCATTATCACTAAACTATGATACAGAAGGAATTGTCAATTAATGCTAAGAAGCTTAGCTGATTGGAGTATCCATTGCCATTATGCTTCTATTTAAATTGTTAAAGTCTGCTGTCTAGTTGTACACATCCTAATCCGATCTTTTATTGTTATTCATACTGAATGATTTCTCTCTCTGATATAGATTGAAATCATTATTTCTACTTTGCTTGTTGGCATTACTATTTATTGCACTACTATTGTTATTCTAATTGGATTCTACTTCAAATGTTTCATTGCTGTAGAAGTTCTCATTCTTGTCATCCTCATCATCCTAGTAGACCTAAAAATGAGAAGTTATCACACTTTTTTGTTGATTAAATACAGACTAGCTTTATTTATATGTGGAGGAAGGTCTATCAGTTTAAGTTATCTGTTTTGAGAGTCGAAGCTGAATGTTTTCCAAATTTTCTATATTTAGAACACTAAACTAGTTTTAATCACCTTGATTATTATTCACTTCCTCTAAATTGCTCTTATTAGGTGTCAAGAACTACTTTAAATATACATTATTATTCCTGTTTTTACTGGTTCTCAATTACTGAGTAGGTATCCTGATTTAGATTTTACCTTCTGCATTTGTTTGCTTGATAATACCTGAATTCTAAGATTCAATTGTCCTGACTAAATCATTTGAAATTACAGGGTTAATATTAATATTATTATTTCCTTAATTTCTAAAATATATTTTAGCATTGGCCAATTCATTTTCATTGCTTATTTGATTTTACTAATGAGATTATTGATGAATTTGCTGCTATTATTTTTGTTTATCTATAAATTTCTATTTTCTACTGCGTGGTTAGTTAGGAGTCTTTGAGGTAGCTTTGACAATAGATTCATTCGCACTATTAGTATTTAATTAAGAAAATGAGAAATCAAAGCCCTGTCCATCTTCTTTCTTTTGAGAGGTCTGTGACTCATTTATTTTTTGGGGTTAGTTATGATAATCTTTGTATGCGTTTTAGGCCTCAATAAATATCTTGTCGTGTTACTATTGAACATTAATATTGATTGAAGTTGAGGGTGAGTCATTATTAATAGTTTTGGATTGAATGGTATTGTGAATATCGATTTATTTTATTTGATACTATTTAATATTATTGTTATAATTCTTAGGAGTGTTCTCCCCACTATGCATTTCAATAGTCTTACTTTGCTACTTCAAGTTTTGCTAAAAAGTTGGAAGGGGCGGGAGAGATTGCTTTCGGGTTACAAAAGTCTTCCTGATTGGTGTATGACTTAACTGAAATTGCTATTAATTGTGCTAGATAGTGTCACTTTTACCGATCAGAGAATCTTCTTCATTAATACTTCGAGCCATGTTGATTTTGTTATCGATGACGTTGTTGTTGGTTCTCTATTTATTATACTGTTCAATAATTTTAGATAATCTAAACTTTTATTGCTGCTTTGAATCTGTGGCAGACTGATTAATAATTATATGATGTCTAATTCCATTCTAATCTTGATAATTTATTCCCTAACCTTATCTCATCTCTTCATATTCTGGCGGGGATGCAAATGTCCTCGTAATTGGAGAATCACTTGGATATACTTATAGAACAGAACTATGAAGATATTTCTGAGATGGTGAACCTTTCAGTTTCAAAAGTGAAAGATCAAGTGCTAAGCTCGTATCTTTGTAACTTTTGTTATGTTAAAGATTTTACTATAAATTAGGAAGATTTTACACAGATTGTTTTCTCTCTGAGTAAAGCATAGAAAATGTTTAGATGTTTAACGATTAGCTCTATATTTGATAGGTAAATATCTATAAGTTGATATATGGGGTAATTATTTAAATGTCGATGCCTAAGACTTAAAATCTGATAAGTGTTGAGGCATCATTATTTGTTGAAATTTAAAAGCTTAATAAACTTACTTGGTTGTTGCTATCATTTCGAGAGATAACACTTTCATCTTCATGATTAGGCCTTGGTGTCTTTCTTTTAAGAACAACTGGCCTGAGTTTTGGAGTTCTTTCATCTCGAGCAGATTTCAGCTATAATTATTGATCAAACTATACAGATTCTCCATTCAATGACTATGTTGGGATACTCTTCATATTGGCAAAGGGATCCATTATATTTAACTTTTGCTAAAGAATAATTATGATTGAAATTCTAAATTACCTGAAGGGCTTTTCAATTTGATAATTTAAGCATCAAAGATTTCTGAATGTTCTATTATGATGGGAATTCTGATGTAAGTTATTGATGATAGTCCATTTATTTATATAAAATTATATTCCTTAACTTCAACTTTATTCAGCGTAAAGGGGTTTTGGGGTTTTGGGGTTTTGGGGTTTTGGGG